CGCGCGCGATCTTTCCTTCCCATTCCTTGTCATGCTCTCACACCTTACTCACACACATTACACTTATATGCACTTCACTACCCATAGCCGGAAGTTTACAGCTTGTCCCGGCTGGGACGGTGCCACTTGGTAGATACCTGGTTGAGAAAATCCCAGCACCCCGACGGCATCTCGCCATTCAGCGAGGACAAAATCACCTCCACATCCTGCGATGAAACTATAGCTACACTTACGAAACTAATGACCTTAGCTATTGATGCGCCGGATTCACTGATCACTCATTATTCTATACGTACGTATACGAATAGAGCTCCGAAAGGCACAGACTTCTTGTAATAGTAGTTTCTTTATCTCTTTAGTGTAGGCTCTCTTTTCGTGTTGCCTCACACTCTTTCATCTGCAATTTAGTATTCCCGCCTAAAATACGATATTGTTTATTTTCCGTGTTTTCACAGTTACTTCCGGATACCTAATAATTGAAAAAAATGAATTGCAATATGACTAAGAATTATTTTCATGGCTATATATTATAATTTCATTTAACATGCTTGTAAGCGTTTAAAAAAAAAACTTTTTAAGCGTTTCGGAATCATGCGCAATTTGAAGCTACTTTCAGGTGAAACCTGTCGAGTTTTCTACAAACTTCGTAACACATGATTTGAAGCAATTGTACTCACAGTGATAATGTGTAAAAACAACCCACAATTCCGTAAAAACAAATTTCGTATCAAGTTCTCATAAAACATGAATTCTGACTAAACGTTTTGGAGAAAGCAATTTGCCATAAATTGGAGAAATTTTTCTATCGACCTTTGCTGTAAGGCCACCGCATAGGTTTACTGTAAAGAGTTGTGTCAAAAAATGCAGTTTTTTTTCTTGCTGCAGCGCATTACAATACCGTCTCTTCACTATGTAAGATCGTTGTAGGGTGTGAAAGTAAAAAATAGAAGAATAGGTAACATCCACTTCATGATTGAAATGTGCACGAAAAATGGTATTTTGCTCGTGAATTTTCGATATAACGAAAGAGCCTCGGTCGTTATTCTTATAGTCCTAGCTGATCGATTTCAACTGTTTTGGTCATTAGTTTTAGTCATTAGTGTAGTGAATATTTTTATCCTGGGAGCTGGCGGTGTGCCTTCACGCTGGATGGTGAGATCCGGCACCGAGCTATACGCCGTCATGCGGGTCTCCCACTCCAGGTATCTCTGCCAATGAGCCCCGACCAAGTCGCGTTCAACTCCGAAGCCCCCGAAACATGGATGGTTGTGTGTATAAGTAGTGTATTGCACGTGTGTGTGTGTGTGTGTGTGTGTGCTGGTGAGTGAGAGAGAGAAGAGAGAGAGAGAGAGAGAGCAGAGAGAGAGAGAGAAGAGAGAGAATGTGTACAGGGTAAGGAACAGAAGAAAGATCGCGCCTTTTGTTAGGTACTGCACTGGCGTACGCGTGGGAATTGAGAAAGAAACCACAGAAATGACTGATCAAACAGCAGGACGCTACAATATTTTCATAAAGAGTTAGTTTTCGCTATACTCGATCTGTTTTAGATACAAGCAAAACACTGGAGACTTCTTATAATCATCATCACCATCATCATCATAATCATATATCATCATCATCATCATCATCATCATTATTATTATTTATTATTATATTATTATTATTATTCTCTTTTTTGTTATACTCAATTCTTTAACAGAAAAAATATGTGAAAACTCCAGATACGAAAGAACATTAACTTTACGTAACATAAGCGCCCGTAACGTAAACTTTCATTCAGCCCCCGACAAACATTTAGGAGCGAAAAAACCAAAACTACACTCTACATATTTTAAACAGTCGTTCCGATCACGCGAAGTTCGCTGTGGCACCGCAGTGGCACGACAAGTATCAATCGACAATAGAGGTTTATAGCCCTGCCCCCTGAGCCATGAGCGAGTGTTAGATTGCATTCGTCCCCCTTCG